AAAAAAAAAAAAAAAAAACTTATTTACTAAATACTCTCATTTTCTTAATTCAATATTTAGTTTCGTCTCGCCAATAACTACCGACTTTTGATCTCAAACCGCTTTCACCTTCCACTTAAAAATAAATTAACTCTCTTTAGAATATAAGTTTCACTCACACATAACATACTTTCCTTTATCTGATCCTCGCGCATTCTCATTGCCAGAGGATCACGTTGGATCCGGACATCGGTGCCCATCATTATACGGTATTCTCTGTCCGTTTGATGCATAAACATCGTGATTAGTTGGGTGTTCTCATCCTCACCGGTTTCCTCAAAATGCTTTTGAACCGCTTCACGTGAAGTGTCCTTTTTCCAGGCTTTGACCCATTCGGAATAGTATTCCAAAGGACCGACCTTTTCCAGTCGATCTCGTTCCTCTTGAAGCCTAAATAAATAAGATGGACCAACTAAGAAGTATCAGAAATTATTAAAAATAAATAAATGAAATGGGGTGTCAAAATAAGAACAGAATAGCAGGCAACGTGCAAAGTTCCATCCTTTAGGTTTCTAAATGAATTATTTCGTTTGGCGGGCTTAGAAAAATTCTCAACAGATGCTACAATTAAAGAGGGAAACAAATGAAAAGAATATACAAGGATTTTATGGAACTTGTGTTTCAAATAACTACAAGTTAATCAAGTAACATGACGATTAGTCGATTACTATAGAGAGAGAATTTGCTATCATCCTCAACCGGCGATGAAAACCATTTCCAAATATTAAACAAAACTCGTGAAAGTTTCAGGCATCTAAGTCATAAAAAGTAATTAATTCATCTCAAAGAAGAGAATAGAAAGATTGCAGAATTTGAAATAAAGAGACCTCTCTTCCTTATATAAATGCCTTCTTGCTCTATAAAGCGCGCATTCAGTAAGTGTTGGTTGATCTCCATAGAGCTTTATCTGCCCTTTCTCCGCCATAGCTTTGAGGAAAACCTGCATGACAGACATTAGAACACAAATTATCTTTTTAACTTCAATAATATAGATGTTCATTCGATCTAAGCAAGAGGCCATGATTTTTTTTCTTTTTTTACTCGATTTCACATATCATCATCATTTATTTATATTATCGAGTCGTTTCTAACCGTCTCGACATCGGGCCTCCTTCTTTGCCATCTCGACCACTTTTCATTCTTAGGCTTTCTCCAGTTCCACCACAGCTCCTCGCTGTCAAGAGTATCCTCAATCGGCCTCCTATCTTCCGGATTAATAAACGGATGAGGCCTCCCGATTTTCTTGTCCAGGTCATATCCGGTCAATTCCTCCTCAGGCTCAGTCTCATAAACCACGAAACTTTCTGATAAAGTCTCTTTATCTTCGTCTGATGAGAAGCCCTCAGAGGACTCAACTTCAACTGAATCACTCACGATTGCTCCCGAAGATCCAGAAGAAGCAGAAGAAGCTGTGGACTTGTACTTTTTTCGTCTGCTTCCCGGATTTTTCCCGAACGATGGCTTCCCAGTAGAGACACCTGTCGGCTCGGGAGCTCGAGCAGCACGGACCTGATTCACTGTCCCTTCGGGCCAGTACTCTTCGGGCGGGATACTCGCACGAGCCCCAGAGGCAGGCTCGAGCTGCCCGGATGTTGAGTCCAAATAGACCTCATATGGATAACGCTCGACCGATACTTCAATGAAATTGGGCTCATCGGTTTTTTCGCACTTTATGCAGGGAAGTAAACAATGCTTTTTCAGCGGGCTTCTGTTCGGAAGCTCGGATTTGTATATCTGAACCAGCACAAGATAACGAAAATTCAGGACAACAAACGAGATGGCTATTAAGATTGTCGAATCAGAATTTGAATAGCTCACACTAGCATTTCTCGAATTAGGCAAACAATTAAGATTTTCCCAACATTAACGTCAGAGAAGATTAACCAATAAAGTCGAAATTTTTGCTAAGAGGAGAAAATTTTCAAGAAAACTAACCTTCAAATTGCTGGCGAAGAACTTGTTGGTAATAATCCCATCAACCGACACCATACTTCTCAATCCACCATCTGCAGAAATTGAAACTAAAATGTGAAGAAACGAGTAAAGGGCTCACAAATTTAGTGCAAAAAAACAGTAAAAGTGTGAAGAGTGAAACCTTGGTAGAGCCAAGAGACAGAAGCCATAGTCGAGGATCGACTGTGTTTTTAGTTCACACAGATGAAGAATATGCCTAAAGTTTTAACATTTTTTGATTTATTATATGAAGATAAATTTAAGGAATGGGATAAGGTTGTATACGGGTCGTGTCGGGTTGAATAGGGCCGGGCTCATGGGCGAATTTACGTGCATTAATGCATTAGTAGGGGGGCAGGGTAGTGCGGGTGGCCTGTTACGAAACGATATGAGATGATGGATCGAAACATTGGCGTTTGCACTATCACGGAGACTGAGTTATGGGGATTATTTCAGGAATTGAAGCTAGCCTGTGACATGGGATATGGTCATGTCATTGCTGAGGTGGATAGTCAATGCGTGGCAAGAATGGTACTTAGTTCAAACGTTTCCTTTGGAACCCATGACGCGTTGGTAAAGGCCATCAAAAGTATGATCCGACGACACTGGAATGATCCAACATGTACATAGAGAAGCGAACTACTTGGCGAGTATGGCGGCATCCTTCTCGATTGGTCTACAGAGAATACCCTCCCCTCCTTTGGGTATTGGACCTTGGCTCGAACACGACATTATTGGGGTGTCGTATTCCCGACGAGTGCTAGACATGCAACTCTTTTAGGCCTTCGGCCTCCTTCTTTGTACCGAAAAAAAAAATGCATTAGTTGCCCCCTCAAATTTTAATTTTTTATATTATTAATATTAAAAATTTTAATTGCATTCCCTTTAAATTTATTTTTGCATCCCCAGATTTTTTATTTTTAAACGTAACTCACCAGATCAACTTATCCATAATTGTCAACTAACGATTCAACACATCTTTTATTTTACTATTAATTTTATTCAACACATCTTTTATTTTTACTATTTATTTTACTATTAATTTTACAATATGGATGTCAAATCGAAGATCATCAAAAGATGATTAATTTGATATATAATATATGTAAAACCGATAAGAAATACAAAAGTTATCAACTTTTAAAATACATTTACAATTCAATAGTTAATTGAAGGAAACAAATCAAAATAAGCGATATATTAGTCACTTAGTGTCCCATTATGTAAAATTACAAATAATTAAAGAGTTATATTAGTACAAATGATATTAAAATACCTAAGTTAGATAAATAATATTTATGGAATGTCCGAACCTAAATTATTAATTATTAATATATCAATATTATTTGTCCAAACCTAATTACGAAGCATGATTATTCGCCAAGTAGGATTCCGAAGCACCAGAAGCAGTCACGTAGGCTCAGCGCATTCAGGAATTATATATAGGGAGGATTATCATTCTACAATTTTAATTGAGCCATATAAAAAGACTTCAACACTCTTTTACTGCCCTAAAAATCGAGAAACGAACCTAACCGATGAGAAAATAAACCGAACCGACTTATGTGCAACGGTAACTGATAATCGGTTACCGAAATGTTATCGGTTTGGTTTTGCTTCTGAACCCAATATGTCATGTTTTTTGCTCCATCTTAACTAATTTTATGATTTCGCCCAAGGTCGGGCTTCCTCCACATGTTTAAATATTGATTCACCTAAAATTTGACATGCTTAGACCTATCTCCAACCCTTTATTTTAGTGTGGAGGATACTCTACTCTAGAGTAAAGTAAGCTAAATATCTAGTTTGGTCTAATCGTTTATGCTATCTAGTTTTTTGCTTATTTTTTATTTCAAATAAATTCTAATACATATGTGTTGTTAATTTTATATTAATATTAATTTTTTGTTCATGTATTCAGTAGATTTTTAAGTCATCCAAATTTTAATCATGTTGTATTTGTTAATGTATTTTATGATTGATGTGTGTGATAATTTTTTTTAATGAAATATACTTGTTTTATTGTGATAAATTTTAATTCATATTGTATTGTGATACAAAAAGTGCAAAATAAAATTATAATACATCACTACATAAAAAGCATAAAATCATTTAACATAATAGATACATTTACCAATACGCATTATACAAATATTTGCCTAAAATTATATTAAATTACACTAGATTAAATAAAAAATTACATTAAATCACAAAAATTAAAAAAAAAAAAAGGTTGAGATATGGTACAGTGTTGCACCAGAATTGGCGCAACACTGTTCACATATTTGATATACCGCAAAAACCGAGTGATGGGTTGGATAAGATTTTATCTCCACTCCCGCTCAAATCACTACATATGGTGATGCGCTGGATTTGCTCTTAAAGCTTATTCTATTGAAAAACATTTGAGAAATTTTATTTTCACCTACAAAAAGATAAAGAAGATTTAAAATAAAATTGCACAAATTCCATGCTTTAGGGCGTGCTTGGATACAAATATATTCGCTGAAAATAAATTTTTATGTTAATCACGCTTAATTGTGAAAAATATGATATGGTTAGTTGTTAGTGTGATTTGAGTTTATGTTAAGAGTATTTAAAATAAAATAATTAAAGTTGATTTATAAAAAGTATGAGAGAGATGATGTGAACTGATATTTAGTTAAAAATATGTGAAATGATGAATAGTGAATTTGTGCACGACCGTCCTTCAATCCGTACATATTAATTCAAATTTAATTCAAAACGTAATCACACTAAATGAAATTTCACGTCTTGTATTGGAAAAATTTCATATTTTACAATGTTTAGATTACGTATTGGAATAAAATATTATTAACCTGGTGTTATTTGAGCCGGACCGAGTTGAGTTGTTCGTGTTGAGGATCGAATTCGTTGAATAACGTTCTTGCAAGGATCATTTTAGTTTGTTTTAACTAGAAACGTTTAATAAACTTACAATTTCGATTGAGTTTTTCGCATAATATGAAATGTTGTAAGAGAACAAATTCAACTAAGTCGTTTCATTTAAGCTTAATAAAAATAAAAAGAGAATAAACATGAACAAATGAACTATTCATGAACAAGTTTAGCTCGCCTTGGCTCGTTCGATAAATGAACTCGAGTAACTATTTGAGTTATGCTTCGAAGCTCGTTTGAATAAATGAACCTGACCTTTCATGAGTCCTATTGAGTTTCGTTCTCGAACAACTCGATCTAAATAACAACTATAGCAAGAGTTAATTATACATTTTTTTTTATAATAGGGTTAATACTCCAAAACTTACTCAAATAACTCGAGGTTTAACGAGTCAAACTATATAAAATTATTAAAAAAATTTCTTTCTTGCCTTGTCGAACCAAATCGAACTCGGCTCGTTAACAAAACGAGTTCGAAACGAGCTCGAGCTCGACTCGTTTATTAAAATAGTCAAGCCAAACTCAAGACTAAAAGAAGCCGAACTCGCAATCAGCTTGTCTTGTTTAAACATTAAAGACACACACAATAATATGTGGAATGACTTTGAACCCAACCTCTATTCACAAACCACCAAACAAAAAAGTGTTCAATAACCTAAAACGTTTGGGCCTACACTAATATTCCGCAATTACGGCCCACCAAGTGGCCCAACCCAAAGCCTATCTCAACCAAAAAGCAACCCAACAAACACCCAAAATAATTCCTTCAGTTGGATATTTTCCCTTATATTGTCGGCAACTGATGGAACCTCTCCCACTTCAAATCCCTTTCCACTGTTTTCTGTTGCATTTACTTCCACTAATGGCAGCCATGGCAATCTACTTCTCAACCCACCAAGTTTAATAAATATTTTAAAAAAAAAAAACTCGTTCGCCGGAGTTAACTCCCGCCGCCGGCGAGCGAAGATGATGCGACGCGGATTGAACTTCGTCCGCAACAGCCGACGGAGCAGCGAAGGTGCTGAAACGACGACGTCCTCTTCGTCCTCCTCCACTAAGGACGACGGCGCGGCATGGGAGATGAGACCCGGCGGGATGCTGGTGCAGAAGCGCTGCGAGGCTTCCTCGAACGACGCGCCCCCGCCCAACCTCCGCCTCCGCGTCGCCCACGGCGCCGTGAGGTACCAGATCTCGGCGAGCTCGCTCTCGACTTTCGGTAAATTTTCCTAAAATTCCGGTGAAAGAAATCGGCAAATCGCCGCCGCAATTGATTGGTGGCTGAGCCGATTGGATGTATTTGCAGGCGAATTGAAGAAGCTCCTAGCGGCTGAGACCGGGCTGGAGCCGCGCGAGCAGCGGCTGATTTTCCGGGGAAAGGAGAGGGAGAACAGCGAGTATCTGGATTTCTGCGGTGTGAGGGACAAGTCGAAGGTGGTGCTGGTGGAGGATCCGGCGAGCAGGGAGCGGCGGATGGTCGAGATCCGGCGGAACGCGAAGATTCAGGCCGTCCATTGCCTGATTGACGGCGTGGCTGCGGAGGTGGACAGGCTGGCAGAGCAGGTTAGTCTAGAAAACTGATTACATGGAATATTAATTAATTAATTAATTTCTATTTAGCTGCGTAATAATGTTAGTTAGACTGTGAAAAGTGATAATTGGCGGTAAACGCGTTGCATTGCATGGACTTTTGAGATGGGTTAGTTATACCTTATGACTTATCAATTAGATGAAGATGCTACGGTTCCAAATCATTTCGTCGAGATTTGTAATTGTTATCATGTAACATTGGGATAAATGATTTAACGGTTACAAATCCTGACAGAATGGTTCTGTAACGGTAGCATTTCCTTGAATTAGAAATGATGAGAAGGAAAAATACGCATTTTTTTTTATATTTTTTAATAAAAAATAAAAGAATGGAAATTATAGAAAAAATGTAAAATTGGAATTGGCGAGCTGCAAACTCGATCCAAACTTGTGCATAATTTGTTCTGAACATTACTTTGTTTCAAGACAAGTAAAATGTGAAATAATTTTATAGATATTAGAATTTATATATATATGCGAATTATTTTAAATCATTTAATGAATTTAAAAGCTACAAGCAATTTAATGTTTTCAAAATTATTTATCCTATTTATGTTTACTAATAAGAGAAAAAATTATTTATTCTATTTATGCTTACTATATAAGAGGAAGAAATGAATGCAGTTAGTACTTACATAGCTGGCAGCCAGCCAGTGGGTTAATGCTATGTGTGTTAAAGATAAATTAGATAGATATGGTTAGTTGTTATTACTTATTAGTAATTGATATAGGTGTAGTACCAAACTAATAAGATTAATTGTTTTTTATATTTTAAAAATTGTAAATAAAAAATTATATTAAATAAATAATGTTGATCCTTTTTTTATAATTTTTTCTCCATTGCAAAGTAACAAAATTTTTTTTTTCTTCAATTCTCAATCATATAGGAAATAGGGGAAATGTTACGATCACGTTACCAAATCATTCCGTCGGGGGTTTGTAATCGTTAGATCAACTATCCCTGGCAGTTACATGATGATCTAACGGTTACAAATCTCGGTGGAATGGTTCTGTAACGGGACTGTAGCATCTCCCAGTAATATAGATATCTATCAAATGGGTTTAGCAATGCAACAAATAGTATCGATGACTACATAAATTGTGCAATTCAATAGCTCCATAACAAGGTAATCAGAAGTATGACTCATTCCGGGCCTCTCACGAGTTTGAAATAATATTATTTTTTATAATTAAACATAAAATTAGAGTCGAACCGACAAACTTATACATTATTAAATTTAATTTTATTGTATTTTTTTTATGAGGGGGCTTAATAATAGGTTGGAGTAATAGAGAAATCAATTGCAAGTGGTAAGAAAGTAGCAGAGCTACAGATCACAACTTTGATTGAAATGCTAATGAGACAAGCTGTGAAATTGGATAGCATCACAGCTGATCAAGCTTCAGATGCATGTGCAAAGAAGCATTCACAGGTTTTGTATCTTTCCATATATATGTATATATTTTGATTTGTTGAATATCATTCTAAATCAATAATCCCATATTCAAAATTCTCTAAATAATTCGAAACAATGTAAAGAACCAAAATTCCGGACACTTGTCGAATCATAATAGTGTGCAAATGGAACCGGATATGATCCTATACTGCAGGGCGAACTGGTGCGAAAATGCGTGGAGAAGCTTGACGTTCTCAAGGTGTCGAATGCCAAGCAGAAGGTACAACCGGTTGTGAGCAGCGATAATTGGGAGACCTTCGAACCATCTATCGGTTCAAACAAATGGGAACTCTTTGATTGATCAACACGACCGAGAGCGCCTTCGTTTTGTCACATAAACATAAATGTACGTTGGGCAACCTAACGTTAGTCGGTCATACTTTGTTTCAATAGATATATATACATGTCTTTTAAATCGAGTATTATATTTAAAAAACATGAGACATTCCACACTATGAAAGAATATGACCTGTCTAACGATTAGACCTTGTCACACAAGAATTTGTGATACTTCCATTTTTTTTTTCTTCAGAATAAAAATAGTTTGCTCGTATGTGCTACTTTATGTGGTTCATGTTTCTCTTTGAATCTTGATATCTTATTTTTATGTATTCCATTTTTGTATTTATTTTTATAGTAATATATTTATTTTATAAACAGACCATGTTCAATTTATTGCAATGTTTTTTTTTTATAATTGTTCTAAAATAAAGTGAAATGGTCTAATAAAATGTAACCAAATATACATATTATCAGAGTTTCATTAAAATTATAATTTTTACATAAATACATTGGATGTCTCAAATATACATATGTAGAGGTTTACAATTTATGCACGTGTCATATAAGATCCACATAAGTTACAAATGTATTGCTATAGTGCTATTAGGTCTCAGTTGACTCGTTTTTATGTCATTACTCCATTTTCAATATTATTATTATTATTATTAATATTATTATTATTATTATTATTATTATTATTATTATTATTATTATTATTATTATTATTATTATTATTAAGAGTTTTATGGATACTAGACCAAAAAGATGAGTAAACTATCAATTCGGGCCTTAAAGATTTTTTTTCTCAATTTGAGACTTAAATGTTATAAAACTATCAAATTAAGTCCTAGACTTAACAAAACCCATAACATCATTAAATTGAGAGTTAAAAAAAATAATAATAATAATAAGGGCTTGTAGACAAGTAAATTTTGAGCCAATTAGTGACAAGTGTCAAATTCCATGTCATAATCAATTTAATAATTTTCTATTTTATTTGAGAAATTAATCAAATTTTAATTCCTAAATTAAATAGTTAATTAATTGATTATTTAGTATACATTGTTGGCCAATTAAAGAATGCCACATGAATATTTTGAAGGCCAATTAAAGAATGCCACATGTCATTCCCTGAGAGAATTAAATAAATATTTATTTCTTTTAATAATTATTAAAGAGATAAATAAATAGAAATTAATGGACCAATCAAATTGAAGTCTTATTTTCCAAGATTCTCTCTCCTAACACCTATAAATAGGGCTCTTCCTAAGGTGAAAAATCACAATTCATATTCA